CCATCTCAATCAGCTAATGCATACAGTGAGGGGTCAACACCTCCCAAACACAAATGGTTTAAGAAAATTGGGGAAAAATAGGGAAATGAGGTTTCTGCTTCCCAATGAGCTACAAGGAAAAGGAGGGGGCTGCTGACCTCAAGAATATGAGAGGCTGCTTTGCAAGTTGCAAGTGCAGGAACGAGAACAACCACATCTTACCTGAACCTCTCCAGCCCTCCAGGATTTAAGCACCATCTCGGCTCTGCAGGGAAGAAACACCTGGCTGAGCATGGACAAGGTGTGAAGAACACCTCCTCAGAGAAAAACATCCAATGCTGACAGCCTGCTTTTAGGGAACTGAGACAGGAGAGAATCAGGTGAACTCCAAACTTTGTGACAACCTGCTACTCTGGAAAGCAAAGCTTGAGCACAGCTGCTTTGCAAGTCTCATTTCCCAGCTCTGCTAAATTTAAAGGATCAGCACACCTGGAAGGCCATGCACACTTGGAAAAGAGCTCCCTCGAAGGGCAGATGGGCCCAGAGGAAAGTGCTAACTCTTTAGGGAGTCCTTGGGCACTCCAGGCTCTGCAGCGGGTTTCAGCTAAGCATTCTGCAGCTGGTGAGCCATCCCACTGAGGCTGGGGCTGGCCCCAGCTGCTGCCCAGCTGTATCGGCTGCTCCCAAAGGAAGGATATATCAGAGTACAATAATTTGTTTTTATTGAGAATATTTGCTTCCTGCCACCAGGATGCACTTGCAGCAGCAGAGAGATATACAGGGGTTCAAGACCTTGTTCACCATGTGAGGCACAAAAGGCTTGTTAAAAAAGGGTATTATCCAGACATCTGTTGCGTTGAGACAGTGTAAATGAGAAGTGGCCAAAGCCAACTGCTGAGCCTGCAGTACTCCTTACCTTCGATGTAAGGTGGACCCTACTTCCCCTGGAGGCCAGCAGAACACTCAGCTCCAAACCTGACCCAAGAGTTTAGTCTGAGGCCACATCTACACTGTGATCAAGAGCTATTGCACAGAAGCTGCTACCCAAGCTGGGCAAGTGTTCAGTGTGAGCTGTTGTTTCATCCTGTCGTTGGTTTGTGCATACGGGTGCTCAGTGAGATCTCGATGAAAGCATCTCAGAAGAGACCTGGCTTAAGGGAAGAGCTTTAGTGCTTAGGACAGGTGGAAGGGGAATCTATTTCCTGCTTGTTCTGGTTTTCCTCTGTGAACTTAGTAAAACCCTCTGATTTGCCCTCAGTGGAGGGAGGAGGCATTGAACAACAGAGGCTTCCTACTGCCCTGTCCTTCAAAGGGGTGCTCCATTGCGTGCTGCTGTTTGTTGGACCAGCTCTTAGCACTTCAGGACAGCTGCACAGCAGAAGAGCTTATGAGGGTTTGTCATCCTGCAATATTCTGGTCCCAACCTCTTGTATCCAACACAGCTGCTTTCACGCAACACTGCAGAACAGTGGTATCCTCCTCCTGCAGGGGTATAGCTTTGGGAGAATATTCAAAGCCACTCTGTTCATTTCCAGACCTTTCTGCAAACACTCACTAATCCATGCTGTGCACGGCTCGGCAGCAGTGGACAGCAGGAAACAGCTGAAAGAAAACACCCCCAAAGCAGTCACGGCACATTCCCTGAATAGCAACAGGCCATTCTGCGGCCAGAGAAACGCTGCAAACAGAAGAGGAAAACATCTCTCTCCTGCCCAGAAGCATTTCCAAGCATGAAAGGCATGTGGATGCACATATTACTCTTGGGAGTAAGCTTTGTGTGCACACTGCAAAACCCCTGTTTTGTGTGAGCATCTCAGTCTTTCCAGGAGGAGTCCCTTGAGCTTTGTATGTGGATACAGCTCTCTACAGGGTAAGCAGTTTTTGCTGGCTACTTCAGGCAAATCGCACGGTGTATCCTGTCACGTCGAGATCAAAAGGTCAGAGCAGCCTCTTCTCCTTGTTGGCAGCTTGTGAGTGGGGCTGCACTCACAAATCCACCTGCGCAGTTCATTTGCAGACCACTGACGATCACAGCTCAGGCCACAGCAAACAGAACGTCTGCTGCTTCCTGAGACCCGCCGAAACCCTGCCACGTCCTCTGGGCAGCTTCACTGTTAACAGGCAGGCTCCTGTCTCCAGTGAGACTCCCCCGGCTCCTCCTGGGACAAAGCTGCATTTCTTGGCATGAGACAAAAAGAGGAACCGGAAGCAACGAATGCTTCTATGGCTTTGCACTACTGCTGAGATTTAAACTTCTATGTTATGCTTCCTGGTAGACACCTGCCCTGACTCTTTTTGCCTTCTCACGAGGATAGGAAACTAACAAAAAACCCCTCTTCCCTGCAAACCAAAACCGTCCTAGAAAGCAAACTGCCAGACAGGTCAACCAGGACCCCAAAGCCAGGCACGAGGAGGGAGTTTTGTTTTATAACCCTCCCTCTGTTACCATCACGTTTGTTGACTCTCCCCTGCAACAAGGCTTTTGCAGAGCAGTGGGACCATTGTGACTTTTCCATCCTGATTCATGGGGTACTGCTGACCAAGGGGAGAGGGCACATCTTCCCCTTCCCAGTCACCAAATGAGGCTGGGCCAATTACCCAGCGAGCCTTCTTTCTTTCAATGAAACCTCTTTCTCTGGGGATCTGCATATGCGCTTTCACCCCTCCCATCCCTAGCAAGACCAAGAGAAACTTCCCCCAGCACCCCCTTCCTGCTCCAAAGGAAGAGTTTCCCCTTCTCTCTGTACTTTTCCCTGCCTAGTTGCAGTACACAGGCATCGTGGTTTTATCAAAAACTGCGTGGTGTATCTCTGTAATGCAGGCTGGCAGCCTGCCACGTGCACGCAGACACACACACACACACACACGCACACAGAGCATCTGGTCCAGGTGGGGAAATCTTTGTGCTGAAGCAGCATCAGGTCAGGTTTGGGCATCTCATTTTGTTCAGTGCTACCAATATGGGATGGCTGCAATGAGGATCTGCAGAGCCATGGAAAAGCAGGGCAGCTGGGCTACGCTGTAGGCCACGGAGCGGGTAGGTGCTTTCAGCCGCAGGAGGTAGGCCACGGTATGGACAATGCGTCCCAGGCAGAAGATGAAGAAGTGGATCCTGGCCACTGTGGGACTGGGGTCCAGCAAGGAGTAGACAGCTCCGAGGAAGAGGAAGGGAAAGATGTTCTCCATGTCATTGCGATGGGCCCTGAAAAGAGAGACATGCTTGCTCTTTCCCACCAGGCCTCCCTGCTGTATCCCATCCTTCCTAGCCAAAATGCTCAGCCCTAGGAGCACAGAGGAGGGGTAGCCCCCCCCCTCTACTGGATGGGATAGAAGCAGTCCCCAAAGGAGTTAGATTCCCCCCCCCCACACAAGCAGTGAGATTTTGCACCCAGTGTCTTTTTTGAGAGGATGCTGTGCTCATAAAGCTTGTGGTAAGCTGAGGCACCTTTGCCATAATGGATGACAGCTCAAGGGTTAGAGTTTTTAAATAAACAAAGCAAAACAAAGACCCTGCAAAGCTGTGAAAAGCTCAAGGCTGGCGAGCTGCCAGCGTGACACGGCCCCAGATGTGTACGTGTTTCACAATAAGGCAGACTCCAAATGCAGTTTCTCCAAAGGAGAAACTCCTAGGATAGGAGCTTTGCCCTTCTTTGCAGGTATATCCAAAGGTGACTTGTAAGAGGTGGCCCAAAGGCCCCTCTCTGCCACTGCACTGCACTAGCATCACTTGCTGAATTGCACCATAGTGACACGAGAGTGAAAGCTGTGAAACGGATTGTGCAATGACCTGCTTACACACATAGGGCCAAACCCAGCGCTCTGAGCGCTCTGCTTCAATACCTGCCTCTTTGAGAGTGATGGTACTGCCTGGCAGTGTGTACACGTACACATCCACTGCTACCAAAATAAGAGTAGATCACGATGTTTGCCTAGGTCCCCTCATCTCACAAGGTAAAATCAATCTTTAAAGGGCCTCTTTATAACAGCAGTTCCCAGCTTGTCGGGTGTGTGGAAGGGGAGGTAGGAGACTCTGGGGACCCACCACCCACTTCCTCCCAGTGAAAACCAGTCCCCAAAGCAACATGGCTTTCCTCATGCTCCCAGTGTCTTTGTCTTTCCTTGTTTCCTTACAATGCAGGAGGTTCTTTCCAGCCTGCAGAAAAGAGTCCTGTCCCCTTGGCTTGACTGAAGGACTCTAATGTCGTGCCATAGCTGCTGGGGATGGATCCGGCAGCACAAACAGGGCCAACCTGGAGAGCGACACAGGCACAAGGCTTCGTTGCTTCAGTGCAGGCATCCAAAGCCCCTCGCTATTTGACGTGGTCATTGCTGCATGCCCTAGGAGCATCCCAACAGCCTCTTGTCACCCCCGTCACTCACCGTCTTCCAAGTCGCAGCAGAGACCATCTCCAGTCCCAAACCACTGCCCAGCAGGAGCTGAACAGAAGGAGCAGCTTGAGTTGACTTCTGCAGGAAATCACCTCATGCAGCAGAAGCAAAGTCAATTTGCTATGGCCTTCTCAGAGCCCCTTCACAGCTCACAGCTGCCCTGACACACCTGGAAAGGTCTGAGCTAACCTGCCTGGCTGCTGCCAGCTCTGAGCTGTGTCCCCTCGTGCGGCAGGGAAGCTGGCACTGCACTGCTCCGCACAGACCTGCCCCTGGCATCCGCTTATGAGGATTTGCTTTGTATCTTTCTCTTGCTATCTCTGAAGGTTTGTGAGGTGCAGATGAAGCCCTGATCAGAATCACCTTTGCTTTCTGACTCTTGTGCCATAGGATGTTTGAACATTCACAAAGCCCAGGGAAAATTTTAAGCAATTTCTTCCCCGAAGAAAAGATACTTCTTACTGCTCACAGGCCAAGATGCCTTCGCTATTCTTCTGGGCAAGCTAAGAGAAGTGGCTGTGAAGTTTTATGATGCTCAGTCACAGCTCACTAGCGTAGATACAGGCTGGAACAGAGCTAGCTGGAAACTGACTTTAAAAAAGGGGAGGGGGTTATATTCTAAGCTCGCCTCCTGCCCCTGGAATTTACTTTGTCGTGGAGGAGATGCCCAGGCATCTGCCCTGGCAACAGACCAGCCAGAACACACCAATTTCATCAGGCCAAGGTTTGCCAAAGGTGGCTCAGTCAGAAACTTTCCACAGCAAGTGCCCAGGTTTTTGGAGGGCTCTGGGTGACTCTGTCCCCATCACTCCAGTTCTTTCCCCAAGCAGGAGCGGCCTCTGGCCAGGGTGACAGCAGTGCTGGGAGCCACGGGGAAGGGCTCTCCCAGCACGCCCAGGTCACCCAGCTGGCCCCAGCCTCCTCCTGCTCGCGGCAACGCTAAGGACGTGAGCGGAGGCTCCGGGCCCAGCAGCTGGTTCCCATCACAAACTGCGTTTGAACAAAACAAACTGTGCGCTGAGCTCCAGTTACCCCTGTGCAGAGGCTTCGCTGCCTCCCTTCCCACGCCAGAGCCTGGGTTAAACACTGGGTCAGCAGAGCCAGGGCACCTGCGGGTAAATATTTCACCTTAGCCGTTCCCAGCCTGGCTCTGCTGGAGCGTGAGACACGCACAGCTGTTTGTAGCCAGAACAGTTACCTCAAGGCCTTTCAGATCCCCATTGCCCCCAACAAAAGGCACCGTGGCGAGGAAACACGTCGCATCCTGCGGTAATGCCAAAACCCCCCCACCCCACCCCAGTCTTCTCTGCCAAAATGAGGGTCATGAATATGGTTTTCTTCTGATTTCAGCTACACTGGGAGATGGCAGCTAGCAGCCACCCTACTGCCTCACTCCACCTTGACCAAATACAAGCCCCTAAGGACTGAGCCATGGCAGAGATTCAACAGGGCTGGAAGGAGAAATGGAAGAAAGGGGGAGGAGAAAAGAAAGAAAAAGCAGCTTGGCCTTCCAGGGCCGACACGCAGCCAGAGGCCTCCTTAAAAGGCGAAGGGGAAACATCGTGGCTGCCTGCTCGCTGTCCACAGCTCCGTTCCTACCCTACGCAGACCCAGCACCTCCCGACAGCTGCGTTTTGGCCCCCCGTCCTTCCTGTTAATGCCTGAAAGGAAAACCCTACTTCACCTTTGTCTGGGAGAAAGACCTGGCTTTCAGTTTGTCTTCACCAGGGCTGCATACAGGTTAGCAAAGACCCACCCTGAGTACTTTAACTGGCCAAGGCAAATTCCAGCCTTCCCCAGGACTTTGCTGGAGCTCCAAGAATTTATTTGCATGGAAGTTTGTCTTTTCTGACTAATGAAAAGAGGACTGTTATTATTATTAATAACGTTACTATTTTATTTTTCCTAGCAAGAGAACAGCTCATTTGCTTTCCTTCTCCCTCTAAAAGGCCAAGGATTACGTGGTACTGGCTGTTTTTAAACCAACTCTTGCAAGCACCTAGATGTGAGCAGTGTTGTCCCCCACCCACAGCAGGAGCTGGCAGCTGAGGGCTTGGTAACAACAGTGCACTGTTCCAGGCCTGATTTCCTGTACGTAACCAGCCCACGCATGCGACCTACTCCAATACCAGGGGCACCTCCTTCTGGGGACAGGGGCAGCAAGGCAAGCTCAGGGCTCAAACACCCTGGGTTTTAACCCTAAGGAACTGTGAACCCCACTCAAGAAGGGGAAGAGAGGCGGTCACCTAATTAGGGAGGCACAAGTTACTGCCGCTGTGTCTGGCCTCTTCCCAGGTCCCCAAACAGCACTGGGACCAGTCGCATAGTTCCCAGTCATGACCCAGCTGTGCTGTCAAAGGTTTGCAAGAAGTGGGGGGGATTTAGGATCCTGTCAGAGCAGGGCACAAGGAGAACGGAACAAAGCCCCCAGGGGACTGCAGGAGCCTCAGCATCTAAGAACAGTTGAACCATGTCAGAGCTGGCCATCGGACCCTAAACGTGGATCCTTCCATGTTTCTTTGCTCCAGCACACACCATGCTCATTAAACATTAAGCTGCCCCATTGTACGGGGTCCTGCCTTGGAGCTCCAGCCATTCAACCCATCTAGGTAATTACTTAACTAATGAGCCTTTTAGCTTCTCACTGCTTCTTTGCCAGCAGCTCTGAGGGACTGCATTGCAGCGCAGGAGGAATTCCAGCACTGCCAAATACTCACCTGCGGCATCGCTCCACGTCAGGGTCCTCACGGTAGTACTGCAGGCCTCCATTCCGCAGCGCATCCTCTGGGTTAGCAAATGCCTGGAAGACAAGAGTCGCCACAGGAGAGGGCTGTGAGGGGATGCATCTCCAACATGGGGCACAGGAGCTTGATTTGGGTGTTTTTTACATGCAACTTTAAAATGGTAGAGTCAAAAAATAATTCGGGAAGTACTAATCCAGATGGGAGGGGCACAGTGAATGCACCTCTTGCAAGCATAACTCCTCCAGTACACCCGATGGCACATCACAGACCGCTTTGGTGCCTTAAGAGATGGACAGATCCCTTCCCAGGCCAGAAGCACAGTCCAGCTGGCCCGTCCACAACATACTTGGGGGAAGAACCATCCATGCTGGTTCCCACCTGGTTCGCACACACAGTTTGTAAGGTCAGGCCTCACTGGCTGCAGCATTCAGACCTGACGAGGGATTTGTATGTTGTGTGAACATTAAGGAGACGGCAGGATAGTATCATCCATTATATTTATTGTAGGAGGCCCTAACAGCAGCCAGAGCTGGGAGTCTCCACTCTAATCCATCCTACTCCCTTCTGATAGTTTATAATGTTTTCTGGAACTTTACGGGCTGAAGTTTTGCCTTTGTTTTTTGAGACTATTGGGCATTTCTCCCTGCCTAAGAAGACATGTCAGCTACTGCTTCTCACTATCCTTCACAAACAACAAGTGCAATTACGCTAATATGTCAGGTGCAAAGTGCAGGTTCCTGGGAGGTTAAATCCAGCATGTCCCAATGGGTTTTCCTTATCTTCTAAAAAACCCATCTCTGCTCACAGAGCAGATCCCATACCAGGGGCTTCAAGGGAGCTCCTGGGGTTCCTTTGCAGGCCTGATCCCAGTCCACTTCTCTCTGTGCAATCCTCTTAAAGGAGACTTTGCCAACTGCCACGAGATCACTTCTGGAACAGAGCACAGAGCTTGCAGATGCTGAGTGAAGCTTCCAAAAGATAATCGGAAGGGACAGATTAGCTCACCTAGCTGAGATAGAAAACTCCCTGGCTGGATTTTTGGCAGCAATAGTTAGTGAGTGAAACAAGCCCTGGGGGAATCAGATCCAAAACCAATAAACTCAAAAATAAAAATGATTTATATGAACTCCCCACCTATGTTGAGAAGCTGTTCCGCAGAGACCTGGCTACACGCAACAGGTTGACTTTGCAGCCTGGAAAAGACCCTAGCACTTTCTTTAATGATGCGACAAGCCCAGACTGTCCCAGAGCTGGAGCCTCATTCAGAATCAAGTCAAATCAAGCCCAGACTGTCCCAGAGCTGGAGCCTCATTCAGAATCAAGTCAGATCGGTCAATTTTGATGATGCTAGAGCGCTAAAGTATCCATCTTTGTATTATGTCTGAAAGCAGAAATATCTCCCTCCCACTCCATTGATGCAGCTGGAAACTCCTCAATACTTTTAAGCAGTTTTTGCAGACATTTGAGTTTTGCCACGAGTTCAGTTTGGGTTGAGGGTGATAAAATGTCTGATTAATCTAGTGCACTGACTGCAACCAGAGTTCCCAACCTTCACTGCATTTCCCTGCCGTGTCCAAGAATTATTTCCTCCAGCTATTGTTTTTATTTCCCACAACTTTCTGTTCTCCTGGAGCGTTCATGCAGGGATTCAGCCTCTGAAAGCACAAAAGCTTTCTGCTACGCTACAGAAATTCTTTCTCGCAATTCAACGGTTTGTTCTTAAACCTTTTTCACTTTTCTCCTTTTCTTCCAGATACAGCAAATTAACTGTAAACAGAGTCTCTTTCCAGAAGCAGCTCACCTGCATGGCATTTTAGATCTGAAATTGCTATTTAGATTAGGATTCAGAAACGATAAACATCAAGCTACAGATGGCAGAAACAAACAAAAAGAGCCAAAGAAAAGCGAGATATTTATCTGCTGCAGTTATAAAACAAGTTTTGCTTTCAATTGAAGTCGAATAAAACTCAAATTGCCTCAGTAAAACTTTGTTGGCCTTTACAGGATTAAATTCAGAAAGGGCTTGCAAAAAAACCCAAACAAAAACCCATGGAAAAAGACAGAAAAGGAGAGGAAGGAAAAGGAAACTGGAACTTACCTTCTTTCTGAGTCTTACTTGTCCTGTAATGATGGCAACGACATACATTTTTAAAATCAAGACCGTGCTGTAGAACATAAATGACATAAACACTTTGTTTTCCATCATTTTTGGGAAGATGGGGAAACGCTCCGTCGTCTGCAGCAATTACAGCCAGTGGAGATCTTGTTTCAGCTACAAGAGGGCTCTGCGGGAGAGGGGGAAGGAACAGCAGTATTTAAACACAACAGAAGCTAGGACTGTTTTCTCCTGGAAAGCCCACGGCCCTAATACTTCCCTCCAGGCCGGACAGGAGCAGATAATGTGGCAGAGCTCCTAGCGAGCAAAAAACAAATCCAGGAACCGCAAGCAGCCTGCTCACACTGATCCGTGCTCCAGACTGCGGCTGTTTTTTCACTGCCTGCTGCAACAAACTGCAGGGGCAATCTGTGCCCCAAGCTGGGACACAACCCCCTCGACCATGTGGGCCCAGAAAACATCAGCCTGTCTGCAGCTCAACCTCCTGCCCTCCCTAAAATACCCCCCGCCATGATACCCTCGTGCCCCACCTCCCCTTCTGTTTGTACCCAATGGGACGGAGCTGCAAAGAGCATCAGTCGCCCATCAGCAGTGCGGGCACTGCTTGCCCCCCAGGTAATGAGTTGATTAATGGTGCAGCAATTGGAAGAAAAAGGAGTTAGGAAGAATGCAGGCACCTACCTAAGCTGCATCCAGCCCTGGGTTTCTCTGCTCCTCCTGTCCCCAGCTCCTGCAGCCCACCCCTCTGTGCCAGCCCTCCCAGCGCTCCCCAGTCCCGCCCAGCGCTGGCAGCCAGCTGAATGGCTCTGACAGAGGCAGTCAGCTCTCCCCTCCCCATCCACCTGCGAGGGAGAGGGGCCAGAGCCGTCCTCCGCACCACCAACGCCAGCCGCCCGCGGGCCTGGGCTATACGTTCTGCCAGGCTGCTCTGGGCATCTCCCGTGTGGAAGGAGAGCCCCCATACTGACCTGCCTCGAAGCAAAACCAGGCAGGTAGTGAACTGCAAACCCACATGCAGGAATAAAAACTGACCTGCCCATCCCCAAATACAGTTTGTGCTGCTTTTGTCCAAGAAAGAGCGGAGTCCAGTACAATTTTATCCTCAGTCTAGAAAGTGACATTTGAATTTGGAGCCGGTTTCTTCCAGCTATTAAACACTTGTGAAGAAACAGCAAGATCTAAGTCTCTGCACAGAGGAGGGCAGCTAGGCTGCTCCTTGAATGCAAAGGTTTAACTCCTTCCCTGGACCTGGCCTGAGTGCTGGCAGTACCAAACCTCCTGCAAGCCCACAGTGCAGGAGCAGATAGGAGCTCTCTAAGTTTATCAATGCTGAAGGGCTGGATTTGGGCTTTGGTTCTGTTATACAGAAAAAAGAGACTTATTTCAGGCAAATGAAAAATGTCAGAGGTTGAGTGGAAAATGAACATTTCGGGGATTTGAGCAGTTTTTTTATTAACTGGCACTCTGGAATAAAAAAGCTGTTTCAGGCCACAAAAAATCCCTCAACCAAACAGGGTAGGATGCCTTGTCCTTTGCAAAACAACCTATCAAAGCGTTGGTACTTCTAGGATTGATTTTGTTCTTCAGGGTTTTTTTAACTGCCCATTGGGCAAAAATTATCAATCAAGTCCATCCCAAGAGGGGCCATAGTAATCCAATGGGAACATCACATGTAACCCAGGACCAGGCTCAGCTCCTATTGCCACAGACCCTGTCGCACAAGGACAGGTCTATCTCAAGGAATGGGACTCTGGTGAAGTCCCTCTGCCCGGGGAGGCATGGGAGCCTTTTGGTTTGGGGTGCTGGTGCAAATTTGAGGCAGCTTCATGCTCCCTGGATGGCCCTGGGCCTGCAAGGGAAGGGTGACACCGAAATACTGTTGCTGAGAGCACAGATCAGGTTACGCGGGCAGATCTGGAAGGTCGGCCCCTGCTTGGGAAGCAAGGCAATGAAGGAAACCAGCCACTTCTTCATCTGCGCAGCGCTTCCCTGCCAGCCCCAACCAGTGACACACAGTGAGTAGGGAGGTTTACGCTGTTTCTAACATCTCCAGCAAATCATCAGCACAGACTCACGCCACTCTCAGTTTTTCTCCTGAGATCAGTGCTGTGAAAGAGGTTTTCTTCCTGCCATTTATTATTGCATGCCATGGTCAGCCTCACATGAGCTGCGTGCTCTGGCCATCTCAGCCAAGGGGAGACCTTTTCCTGTAACCGTCCAGCCCAGACTTCCTTCCTGCTATGTGAACTTGCCAGTCTCCACAACCCTTTGCTGCTGTCAGAGCTGCAGGGCAGGGCTCAGAGCCAGAAGGACTCTTCAAGTACACAATCTTTCTCCAGGTACAGAGATCTGCAAATTCTTTATGTTTGACTCTGAATTCCCCTCAGCACTGTTGCTCTGCAGCATGCGCATGGGGTGATGTTGCACACCCAAAGATGCTATTCCTCTCACCGTGATACACTGGCTCAGTTCCACGAGGTCCCAAATGTGCAGAGAGCCTTTGAAAACCCAAAATGTTGAATTTCAAGGGTGAGATACTCGCAGCTGGTCACCTGGAGTCAGAGAGGCTGCAGAACAAGTCCCAGCAGAGCCCAATGCGGTGCTCAGCAAGCAGGCAGCAAATGCCTCCAATGGGCTGTCTCCCTTGGGGGGTGGGAAGGGGGCACCAGGAGACACAGCAGCTTCACAGCCACATGGACTCAAGTACTGCAGTATGGGCTGGGGCAACCCTGGACCCCAGCCCTGCGTCCCCACCAGACTGCCTCTGAGCACCATTCGCATTTCCCTGGAGCGAAGCGGAGTACTAGAAACACTTGTTTTGCCATTGCTAAGCAGAAGCAGTTCATGGCAAACCTATATCCCAAACACTTTTTCCTTTCATTTCCCTCTCTGTGGTTTATAGGGAGCATCCCATTGGAGAGAGGGCCTTGGTGATGTGAGGGCAAGACCAACCTTGCGGCAGGAAGTGAGACTTTCTCAGGCAGCCCCTTACCTGGCTCTCCTGGGAGCCTAGAGCCAGGGCAGGCTGTCGGACCCTTCACCAACATATCATGCCCTCCATGAAGCCACTTCAGTTTTTACCAGCTGAGGATCCAGCCCAGGGGCTCTTCCATAGAGTCCTTTCTCCCTTCTTGGGTTGTCTTCCTCTCCCAAAACAGCCCGCATACCTCACTGAGCAGCAGGAGTATGTGCAAGCTTGGTGCCACCTGCAGACAAGCCAGGACTTCTCCGGCTAGCTGGAAACAGACAGACAGACTTTGTCCTCCTCAGCATTATTCAAGTTTTGGCAGGAATCCCTAGCCAATTTGCACCAGCAGCTGGCACAAATTTAAATCAAATAGAGTGATCAAAAGACAGAGTTCGTTTAGGCATAAGCCCCTGGAGCAGACCCAGACATGTGTGTTGTGTGTGCTGTTTGGGCTCCGTGGTGTACAAAAATCTGCAGTGGGCAAAGGAAGTTGTTTCTTCTATATCTTCACATATTTCAGCTCCCTTTACTGTGATGCAGAGCTGAATCCCACAGGGGAGAGCTGGTGTCTATCAACACGGCACCTAGGTGGATAGGGACGAGGAGCAGAAGCTGCCCTCTGAAGACAGATGTAACGCTCCTGGGATCCCAAATCCCTCTTGATTTCTGAAATGTAGGAGCCTTACGTGGTGTCAGACATATTTCCACTGCAGAGTTTTGCCTTCCTCGCTTCCTTGACCCAAGGTAATGCTGGCTCCCAGGAACACGTTGAACCGTCCCATCAATTCAGGTGGAAGCAGGTTGTTACTGTAAACAAATTGATCCTCCAACAAGGATCATACCCTGCTAGGACAGAACCGTTACTTGAATGAGACTGGATCCTAAGAGCAGTATGTCTTTAAACTATGAGCCCTGCCTTAAAGCCTTTAGCAAAGAAGGTCTCCCTCCAGGACAAGACCCACCAAGATCCAACACTGCTAATGAAGAACACTGTATTCTTTGGATAAGCGACTAATAAGAATCACAGTCAGGCTTTGGAAGGGTTGAAGATTTAGACATCAGGTTAGAATGACCTCAAGAATTCTGGGGAGAAGATGAAGGGTTTTGCTGAAGGAGGAACTGAACATTCGCAGGCAGAAGGAATGAAAAATTCATGGGAGATGCTTGAGAAAAGTACTTAAAAATAGAAGTCCCTAATAACGACCCTGCTTTGAACGGATTATTTGTAAGGATTCTGGAATAAAAATCACTCTTCACTCCCACATGGGGAGTTTTTTGTTCAACCAGCTGAATTATATCACAGTATTATAGCAGCCAGAACAGTATTATTTTTCACTATTGCTATGCAAGGGAAATGTCCTAGTGGCAGCAGGACCTACAGGAGAGGGCTGGTCAGGCAATAAATCCTTGGCAATGGGGCATGGAGGTGTTTGCCAGAGTGGCATGGCCTGGGCTCCAACCTGATCTCAAAGGGCAGTGAATATCTTGGGCAATTGCAGCTCTGATTCACACAAGTTTTCCCAAATGAGCAATTACATCTCACAGCCTGGCGAGTAAAGAGCCCAAGGGACTGTTCCAGCCTGGAGAAGACAGGCAGACGGGTGGCACTTCTCCAACGTGCTCCTTCTTGTTAGTGGAGAAGGTGCAGAGCCCCTTCCTGAACACAGCTGGGATTTTGCCTGCCCCAAGCCCACAGCTTGGCCCACAGCTCCAAGCAGTGCTTAGGTGCATTCCCAGCTTGTTCTGATGCTGCTGGGAAGGCTGGTGTCCTCGTTGCCTCCCTGCAGACATGCCCTGCCCCAGTGATCACTTGCCCTTCGCTGTGCCCAGCCCTCCCCGGCGGCCCATGGGAGGTAACACTGCTCTGGCTCATCAAACACAGCTATATTTTCAAGTAAAGGCATGAGTTATTCAGCTATTTATTTAATAGAGAAGTGCTCTACCTAGGTACTCTTTAGCCTGCACAGAAGGTCACATCAACATGATGGGGATTTAACCCTACCCATGATGCACCATCTCCCCTGCTGTTGAGACAGAGAAATCCCATTGCTCCATGAGCAAATCCCCATCCCCCAAACTCCTGGGCTCTTTGCTGCTCTTTGAAGCATGTAGGACAGGAGGAGGCCACAGACTGCAAAGTGACTCAACAACGAAAATATCAGCATTAGCATCTCCTGAAACAGACAGGCTACTTCAGCCTCTCTGCAAACTCAGACAGATTTTGTCTGTGTTGCGGTTTAAAGCATTTTCCCCTGCAGCTCTGCTGGCTGGAGCTATTTATCTGAGTGGCCTCAGAAATGAGGAATATATGATTAGTCTCTCCCAATTCATCCTTTGCACCCAGGAAGACCAGGTGCATGGTGCCTGGAGCAGGAGGAAGCCTGGGAAAGGTGCAGGGCTGCGGAGGCTCCAGGTCTAAGGCACAGAACAGGAGCAGAGGAAGGTGCTACTCCTCAGCTGGCTCTGGGTCAGGGACCAGGCCCAGGCTAAGCGAGAGGCAGTGGCAAGTCCTCCTGCCTCCTCCCTCCAGCACCATCCACTAGTCCCTCCTGCCTCCACCAGGCTGCTGCCCTGCTTCCAGCCAAGCCAGGATGCACTACTCAACTCCCACCCACCTCCCCATGCTTAGGGGCTGCCCCAAATTGCCATAATCACATAGCTGGCAGGGGAGTCACTACGTCTCTCTTTGGTGTGCCAGCAAGGAGATACCTGCTGAAAGAGAGGCCATTAGGCTGTGAGCATGTGGGAGGAATATTATTTCTTCTTATTCCGAGTCTCACATCGATTCACCCATGGGCTTTCTCTTACAGGAAAGAATTTCTTGGCTATGCTGCACTTGTGTGTTCGGGGATGAAACCCAGCTGGGGCAGAGGGGCCAAAGGGGAGAGGGAATTTGCTTCTCCTCTTCCCTACTTTCTTCTAGCAACCCAGCTGGTTTAAAAGCTGGCTTTAGGCAGAGCCATGGCTGCCCCTCCTGCCATAGAATGAAGGAGGGAGACAGGGGACAGGGCTTGAGGCGTGTGGGAAGCCAGCATCTCTCTCATTTAGCCACTTCGCAGCAACTCGTGATGCTTCTCTTCCTAAGAACTGGATCCCATCAGCTGTAAACAACAGGCAAAAAACACTTATACTGTTGCCCAAAAACAGGGAGTTTCCCAGCTAGGCTGGGAGGGAAGAGAAACAAATTCTGCTGCCAAAAATTTCAAAACTGAGAAACGCTTCTCTAGACTTCACCAAGCATTTGCAAATCTACAAAGCAATTACAGATGCCCTGGTGGGATGCTCTTGAGGGAGAGCAAAGGTAGAGGATGCTGCATGGTCCTGTCTCCACATGGTGTGGTATGAAGGAATGGGAATTGGGGAACATTTTATAGTATTAAGACCACTGGCTTGCTAACAGGGCTGGGAGAGAATGCGGCTGTGGTCCCAGATTTCAGCCTTACGGAGACTTGACATTCAAGAGCAGATTAGCAGCTCCAAAGAGAAAAGGAGAAAACAAACCCGGACAGCCTTTCCCTTCTTTGGTCCCTGACCAAGGACTGCGATTTGCTGCTATGCTGATCCTCAGGTCTCTACTTGCCCTCAGAAGTGGGAAGGGGTGCCCACCTCAAGAACAGGGACTTTTTTGGCAGGTGGGTACCTCCTAGTTCCTGGGCCATTAGCCCTACCCTGAAGTCCAGGAAGAACAGCAAGCTTCAGAGCTCGCCCATTTAAAATCATTGCAAGACCCCCTTTTCAATAGAAGGGCATTTTTAAGCATCACGGAAACCTAGCAAAAGAGGGAATGGAAAGGCCAGTGCTTCACTGCACTTCACTGAGAGCAGCTGAGAGCAGCAACCCCATCCTGGACAGACCAACTTTAAGGGGAGCCTTCCTTCATGGCCTGCCTTAGAGCTTCACCCACTACAAAGCTTTCCAAAACACAGAGCTTATTTTTAAAATCCTGAGCTCTCTATCTCCCCTCAATCACCCCTAGACTAAACAGCCTCAATTCCTCCCACCCTTCCTCATAGGTCATGTTTTCTAAACCTCTTATCACACTGATCTCTGCTAAATGCTCTCCACTCTCAGAGCAGGGTACCAGCAGGAGACAGGGGACACTAGCTGGGCCATCCTCCTTTGACAGCAAGCTAACATGAACCACTCAAGGACACCTGCACTCCCAGCTCATCGACTTTCATCTACAGTGTTTTCCCAGGTTGCTCACTAAGAACTGTTGTGACAGACACCGCGAAACGCTTAAGTCAAAATTAAAATCATACCTGTTCCTCCTCCGCTTTTCTTTCCTCCCATCCAAGTGCCCAGTTACCCTGCCAAAGAGGAAAGCAGGCTAGTTTGATTATTCTTCATAAATGGGCTGCCTTTGTATCACCTTAGCTGGATGGTCTGTTCCTCCATTAAACTAAGGTCTAGCACTTCCCCAGGCTCTGTTCAAGAGCAGCTTTACCAGCAGGCCCCAAACTCCTGAGCCCTCACAACCACCTTCAATCCTCACTGTGACCCTGCTGCTCCTTTAACCAAGAGCAGCAAACAGGGCCCACGTACTAATGAGGCTTGACTCAGAGAGAAGTCAGAGCTTCTCAGTGGTTTGAGGTTTCCTACAGTTTGGATGAAGTCACTTGTGAGCCCAGGGTTATGATCTAGATGTATTTGAAAACTTTCCCTTTTTCTTCCGTTTGCTAAGAGACGCCCAACGTGTCTTTCGGGCTAACTTCAGCAGCACCGTCTACACTGACGACACATCTGGACAGCCAGGAAAAGGGTGGTCCAGGTTGCAGCTCTAACGTTATTAATAAACACCCTCTCATATTCAGTGCTGAAAACATCCTCGCTTTAATTAGCATGCAAAGCAGGGAGCAATTTAGCTTCATTATTTACAGTACTATCACCTGGAAGTTTTTTTTTTTTATTGCTCTGTCTTCTCAGCTGCCTTCTTGCTCAGAGTGGTGGGACCACTCAAGGAGCATGGTCCAGGCTGGAGTCATCTCCCAAGACAGCAGAGAGGGAGATAAAGAGAAGGGAATGAAGCTAAAAGGCTCCTGCTTGGACATTAGGATTTCAGAGCAGGGATTACATGCCCTGTGCAGTGCAGTGTGCATTGCACTTGGAAGTTAAATGCAGTCAGTGTGTATTTTCCAAACTCACAGTAAGGAAAGAGAAGGAAATGTAGGGCCATACTACCTCCCAGAGCAATTCCCTGGACTCTATTAAGGCCAGAATTTGGCCTGAATGGTGGAGCAAGGAAGTAGAGAGGCCTCTCTAAGCTACTCGACCAGCAGTGATGCTTGGACTAGCTGTCCTGATTTCTCCCTCATCTGAATGATCCATCAGCAAGTCTCCTTAGGAACCTGCCTGGGCCCCATGATTCGATTAGTCTCCTGGCTTGCAGGCTCTGTCCGCGTGTCCATGACGTGTGCTCACAAATCTGCTCCACCCTGTGTTTATGCACCCATGACTGCACTGTGCAATCCTCTGCGAGGAGATATGTTCTCATTCCAAATATTTACAGAGCAGCAGAATGCATCTGTCTAGCACAACACGTTTCTGTTGACAGTGCAGCCAACTTGGCCAAAAGTGAACAAGAGGTGCTCCCCTACTAGCTGGAGAGAAGCAGGGCCTGAATGGGAAGGCAGCCATGGCATGGGGATAGAGAGAGGAGCCTACAGGATGCTCCGGCCACATTAGCAGGATTAGAGCCGTTCCACAAGGAGATTCAGGACAGAAAGGCATTGGGAACAGCACTACACAGCACTACTGTCAGGAAAGGTCTGTGTGTGCCTTCGCTGGTGGAAGGGAAAGGGAAGCATTAATTCCTGTCTCCTCCAAGCTCTGTTGCAAAGCATCTTCAACAGGAGCAGGGAGCCTGCCCGGCTGTATCAGATGTGAGGAGACCATGGTTTCAAGGTCGTAAAAGCCCCTGCGGCAGTTAGAGATGGACTGAGCCTCCTCGGCCCCATACGCAACCTGGTTCATCAAGTCTTCAGAAGTCGGGGATTAATTTAAGCTCTGAATCACAAGGTTTAATTCCCTTTCCTGAGAAGCTGTTGTCATAGGTGATGTACCTCTTGATAATTATATGCCGAGTCACTTTCCAAACAATTAAATCACTTACTGGGGCAATGAGTTCCACAATGAAACACAAACTAAGATGATAATATATAATAATAAACTTTTTACAGGATCTGCTTCCCTTCTTGTTCATTTCACAGACAGAGAAACTGGAGCTCAGGAAGAACAGCAATAACCCCAGCAGCAAGGGTTAGTCTGCTCCTTGTTTGATACATGGCTGTGAAATCACCTCTTACTCAGACTTATCACAGTCCTACTCCCTTTCATCTCTCTTCAAAGAAGATTTCTTCCATGCTTTTGATTATTCTAGTCGTACTTTCTTATTTCCCTCCAGTGCTGAAGCAAGCAGATGACCAGCCCAGATGACCAGACTCCCAAATGATTTCACCCCTTATTCTCCAGGTGTCCTTTGGCCTCCTAGTAGCTCATTTGTCTTTAAAACACCGATGCATCCTGGGCAAAACAGTCCTCAATGAAGGGTCTAGGATGACTCCACGCTGAGTTATTTAGTACTCCAGAGGGGCTACTCCCAGGCTGAAGGAATTCCAGCTATGTTCTTACAGAAAACAGACCTGGGACACTCGCTCTACAGCCATCTCGTCATAGATCTGGCTAGCTCACCTCTGTTCCTTTGGGGTCTTTCTGCATTCTCCAACACAGTATCCTCTCTTGCTATGCTATTATCATAGATCTGACATTAGTCTTTTTAGAGCAGTTCCATTTCCCTGTTTTCAAGTCCTTCCACATCACTGCTAGCCACAGGGTTCCCAGCTCTCAAACACACATCTTAACTAAATGGAAACTAAAGTCCTGCACGCAATCTCCTATTCATAGCAGAGTCCATTTTTCTCTGTTAGATAACATATCTCCCAGAAAAATAATCCAATATTTTCTTCCTGACCCTCCACCCTTATATAACACTGATGAATCTGTCTGCATATCTAATGTATGGCAATGGCACTTATCTATTTGTTCAGATGCGAGGCATAAATTAACAGGTCCCCACAGAGCACTTCAGCTGGACATTGCAGAAGTGAAGGAATTAAATATAATTAAATATAACTCATCACTCTCTTCAGCTGGTCCTGCTTAAAACAGAGGGACACGTTTCCGAACACTTAGACCTAGAGACAACTGTTTATTGACTGTTGTCAATAAATGTGTCACTTGTCCCTCCACAGGAACAAATACAGACATGCCTCTCCCAGCGCACAAAAGGAACAGAAGGCCTGTATCTGGCGAGCACACAGGGAACTGGGTGACCAGCATACAGGGAACCGGAATGAGGGGACTGGGAAAGCCACCCAGCTTGCCTGATGGGGCACTGCTCACCATGCAGGGCTGGGAGCAGGGCTGGTGCCTACAGCCTTACCATGACAATTTATCTGCCAATTTCTAAGAGCTCTTTAATGTCCAACCTACAGAACCACCCTGGAGCCAAAAGGAGCCCCTGTACAGCGTGATGTTTTTCCCTTGCACTGCAGCACTCAGGTAGGTTTTGACTGAAATGTACGTTTGCAGCCACTCAAGTTCATGCTCATAAGCTACAAGAAGATCCTCCCCAAACTCTCAATAAACGTAGGTGATTTTAAAACTTGCTGCTGGATTCTTTAGTTCAGTTTTTTTTTGCAATAAAACAAACCAACGAATCCAGCAAGAACCTGGAAAAATCCAGGATGACACCTTTTCTAGTAGCAAAAAGGGGGAGCAGTCAGGAATAGTTCACTGAATTCATTTTGCATAAGATTAGTGTGGAATCAAAGTGACATCTCCAGTAAGGAAGTGACCGACCTTGGTAGAGTAGTTTTATCCCTGAGTGACACTTCTGTAATGATAAACACAGACAGGCTGTAGAGAATATTGCCCTCGTTGGAAAATGGGCCTGAGACTGTCAACTGCAAAAGGCCACATGCAGCGGGACCACCTCAGGTCCTACAAAGCAGTTTTTCTTCAGCTGGCTGCTTAAGTCCTCTATTGTTTAGCCGAAACAGCGGCTCAATAGCTTGTTGTCTCAGGGTTTTGCTTTGGATTGGAGTGTCTGAAAAGATGTTACCCTGGGTGGTTTCTTCACAGTTGTCCTCAGCCTCAGAGATGAAAGAGACAGCACACAGGTTAGAGATGGGCTGGAAAGCTTGGTCCTGAGCCTAGGGAAGGACGGAGAGCTCCAGGGAGGAGACGCCAGGCTATGTGGTTGTCACATCCCAAACCTCCATCAACAAGAAGCATGCTGCACTCCCCATGGCTAGTCACCAAACAAGGAGACGCCTGAGCTCTCCTGTGCCCCGAGAGCCTCCACACCACAGAGATGGACAGGCCTTGAGCAATTTCTGGGAAGCCTCACTGCAGCCTCTAGAGAGCTGAAACCCCCACATCCCTTCTCTCACCTCAGCACAGAGCTCACATCAGGAGATCTCACTGCTGGTGCCAAGGTTTGCTGGCTCCTGACGCCTGTTGTTCTCTGGTTACAGATCCCCTCAGAGGCCTATAACAAATCGAAAGGTATCGCTGTCCTTTGGCCTTTGCTGGCAAGCCGCCTGGTCCTTCATAAGCACAGAGCCCAGCTCTGTAACCTCCACGACCCTCCAAGGGCAGTCCAAGGGCAGCCAGGCTTGGCCTGTGAGGACAAAGGGGAGAAAATTGTTACAACAGCAAATAGTTACTTTCTCCTGGTGAATCTACTTGTTCCTCAAAACCAACTGCTAGAGCTGATTAAAACCAGGCAGAGGTCTTTATTCAGGCATGAGCTGGAGCCAGAGGAGCAGGAATAGCAGAGGCACCAGTCAGAATAGCTGCCGTGCAAGACTAATTTTAGTGACCCATATTTACTGCTCTTCCATGGGAGATGGGGGAAATAGCAGGGTGTTTAGTTCTGCAAACCTCAAGCCAAACACAGTGTCTGATTCTTGTCCAACCCAAAAACTATTGACACTTTTAAATCCTCTTTTACCTAAGGGTCCCAAAGCATGGGATGGGGGTGCATGATTAATAACACCACCACCTTATGTACGTTGGATGAAATACAAGCCACTTGCCACATCAGAGAGCCCACGACTGGAGCAAAGGGCAGTGTTTCTCATGTCCTATAACCCTTTTCCTGCAGCAATCTTGCCCTTACCATTTTAAGTACAGTGTTTTCATAATTAATCAAAGTTAGATTTCATCCCCTTCACCCAATTTTCATCCTCAAGCTATGATTTGCAGCAGAAATCAAGTTTAAGATAGAAGTAAACATAGGCTAGAGTTTTACCTATTATTTTTGTTCTCTCAAAAAGAGCTATTGCTCCATAAACCAGACAGGCTCACGTGAGAGCTATTCTACTCTAGCTGTTTCAAAGCCAGCCTGGAGAACAAAACCATAAGGCAAATCCCAGCTGCAGACTGGAGCCCAGTCAAAGCCAAACAGGAACAGTCTCCAGTTTCAGATTCTGGGCTCAATTTTAAAAAGAAAGAAAAAAAACAAAGGCAGATTGAGACGGGTGAAATCCAAGTCTCACCACATCCCCATTTTACCAATGAGGAACCTAAAGCACGGATAATGTGACTTTCCCTGTGTTGCTCAGAGCTGGGTGACAGCGCTTGGCCAGGCCCCTGAAGTCCAAATGTAGTCCCCAGATCTAATCACTAAACCACAAAGGATGTCTGCACCATGAGTGTTTAGTTTACAAGTCAAAACAGAGTCTAACTGCCAGCATTCAATTGCAACCTGATAGCCCATCTACTAGCTCTATCACTTCCACTTTGTACATTATTCATCTTGCGCAATATAGACCTTGAAATCAGCACCCAGAGGCAATTGTGACTGGGCCGGAGCAGAGCTACTCTGCAGCAGCAGGGGGTGAAAAGGCCAGGCTGGTAATACACCAGGGGGGCCCCGCATCCTGATTTGCTTTGTTTAGTTCCTACCCCAGTGGGTGCTTCCCTCAGTCACCAACCCAGATGGATTTGCATGGTCCACAGGTAGCTATTGTTTATTTGCACCCGGATCAGGGTGATGCCATTAGAGCCTGAGCGGCTGCATCATCTTGCTGTGCACCAGTAGACCTCCAAGCTAGCACACAGAACAGCCATGTGAGCTAATCAGAGTTCAGCAAAGGCCTCCTATACTCTGGTGCTGTAGAAAATGCAATCTGGCCATGTTGAAAGGTACCAATACAAGCTTTAGTAGGTGCTTGCTCCGGTTCAGCTTTGCAGGCATGGCAGGAAGTCACGGGTTACCTTCTAGTGTTACCTGCTTCCTGCCTACACATTCTCACAAATCTACAAGGATTCACGCTAGTACACACACGTGCTTGGGGCTCCAACTTCGACCAGGTCTGTCTGTTTCTCTCTCACAACACATGCTGGTTGTAAATGCATGCCCATTTCCCAGTCCTGTTTTCCTTTAAGCACTGGTACTTAAACTCTGATCAGTAACTTTCTCCAAACTATACGTGAACCTCTTAACTCCTGGCACCAAAACTCCAAGACCTTAGAGTGCGTCCATGGCATGAAAATCCATTCGAGAAATGGGCACCTGTTAAGATCACCTAACTATGGATTTAAAAAAGCTGGTACCCTCAGAGCCTCTCACCATAACAGCCCTGGCTTCTCCTGTTCAGGTGAAAAGAAACTTCCTGGTTTTTCTAAAGCCAAAGAACTGCCTCCCTCCATGTGTTCTTTCTCTGGAGGACAATAGGTAAAGCATACAGTGCTTTAAGGAGGAGCAGAGCCAGTCTGACTGCTGTGGTATTTAAATAGCTCCTTACATTTGTTCTGAGACAGCCCTTCTCCATCCATCTCCTATTTCATTTCTTGATTGAGCTGGGTATTACTGAAAGATCAAACAGGGGTTTCAGCACCAGGTCTCACCCTATAAAGGGAAGGGAAGTACCCTGCCAGCTTGTCACCTTGCACTCATCTATAAAATCTTAGTTTTCAAGGAAGATCCCACAGGAGGCAAGAAATGTGAGACAGCAGCTTCCCTCACCTGCACTGCTGCAGAAGATCAAGCATGGCTTTAAGCACAAAGAGGCTGCCCTCCTCTCCCTCACCTTTTCGTTCTTATGCCACCCAGGTAACCCTATCTGCATAGCTCCACCTGCTGAAAACCACCTGTTATCTGAATAAAAATCACATTTGTCTCTCTTTGCAGAGACTGTCAGCATTCACTGTGGCCAAATAGCAAAATTATCACTGATAAACCTTTCTTGTTCCTCAGCTGCTGTACGTTGTCCTGGGTACGTAGGTACTGTTCCAGCACAGAACCAGGTGAAGCTCTGGTCCAGGCCACCATTGCACCCAAATGCATAAGGTCTCTAGGACAAGTTATTCATTCTGCTTGCACAGCACTGAGCACAATGAGACTCTGGTCTACGACTGCATTACAAGCTCAGACAAAAGGACTTTAAGGTTGGACATCCAAATGGGAAACCCTTTTCTTTGGTTGTAGGAAGGGACTTCTCAATTGCGTTTCCTAGAGACAGTATCCCTGCAGTGCTTCAAAGCTGCGCACATAATCAGACATGATCAAAGGAATTATTTCACTCAGGCAGATTTATGTGAACACATGTATGTTTTTCCCCTCACCCAAATCCCAGGTTCATCCATCTTTTTTCCTTGTCAGACGGTCCTTCCTCACACAGCACAGCAATACACAGCGATGAAAGGGACTCTGCAATTCCGTACCGCAGACAAGGATTTCTAAACCTGCCCAAGGCAAATCATGGCTTAAGTTCTTGAGTAAAGATTTCAAAGAGAAAATAAAGTTGCTATTCCCTTTGCTACAAACTACCACGTTAAGAACTTTCATCTTCTCCAAACCTCAGTTTCCCTACCTGTGACAGAAGGATGACAGTCTCTTGACTCCCTGGGCGTTGCTAGGATTAGACAATGTTTGCTCAACATTAACGTAGATTTTTGGTGTCTAGTGTTATTACTACCATCACATTATAGAAAGGTCAATGAACGCATTCCAGTGAGTCAGAACCTTCCCACAGCACTTAGTGTCATCCTCAGAGTGTAGCCAAGCTCTGTATTTGGATAAAGCCCACCACAATTCCCCCCCTTAAAAGATCCCAATGTACGTCAGAGTGACAGCCTTTTCCTGCATCTGCTTCATCTCTGTGTTTAGAGATGAGGAACACTTGGAATATGATGCTGAAATTAAAGCAAGAAAGGAAAACAAACCCAAGCCACACATGCAGGAAAAAAAAACTCCAAAAAGTCGAAATTAAATCACACTCCCCTCAGAAAAACTCCAAACACTAGAGAGTGCCTAGCCACAGCTGAGGACAGGGAGAGAAGCTGTGGTGGACAGTGGTGTGTTTGGGTAGAAATTAAACATGAGAGAGTTTTCCACTTCTTGTTTTCCTCCAATCAGAAACCTTCAGTGAGAATCTCTTGCCGGTCCAGCATCTCATCCCTGTGTGTAAAATGACACTCATGTTACCAAACCTTTTTCATAAAGCACTTCAAAATATAGAGGAGTTTACACATTCTCCCACAAAAGTGAAGACTTTTTCTGGAAAAAACATTGATTCAGTGACTCTACAGTTCCTGCTTGGAAACCTCTTGCACTCCATGAACACAAGGCAGAGCTGAAGCACAGATTCCTAGCACGCTGCCCCATGGCTGGAGACATTACGTGTGCTGGATCGCCAGCTCAAGGACAGAACTGTTAGGTATGCAGCCTCGTGATCAGGGAGCCACACTAACCAGCCATACCCCAATTTCTCCAGGCTCTCTGCCATGGATCTGTGAGCCCACAGTCCTGAGAGCACTGATTTTAAACCAGCAATGCACAAATCAACCTGTGAGTGGGTGAAAAAAAATTTCAACATACGAAAAACAGAATAAGGCCAGGTAAAGCTCCCATCCGCGACTTTCTTCTCTCCCCATCCCTACCCTTAAGTGCTCTGCCTCTGCATTCCTGATCTCTCCCTTTGCAACACACCCACCCCATGTCCACCACCTCCCCTATCACAACAGCCCTACCGCTCCTACCAACTCACTGCAAACCCCCCACATCCGCCAGCTCATACCACCACACCCCGTCCCACATCCCCTGCCTTCCTTCTTTTTGTAATTCACCCTCGCCCTCATCTCTCTCCCACCCTCACCTTTCCACCATAGCACTTCCACTTCTGATCAACACTGCAAACCACCAATACCCCAAATGAACTTTTGCACAGTGAATGCTTTTTGAAAACATTTTCCCTCAGCTATGAATTTTCAGTAACTTCAACCTCCCAAGCCGAATGGGGGGAAGGAGTGGGAATACATGACAGTATGCCATTTTTGCACCCAGGGCACAAAAGGGCAGCGAGTCTGGGGCAGAGCTGACGCTCTTACCAGTGCAACACAACAGGCGACAAGACGTTGAACTGAGGACTGTGTGTTGAGCAGTCTGTGCTCCACTTGGAGCTTCCAGACAGCTGTTCAAGGAAATTGCCATCAGTGTCAACCTCACCACCGCTATTAGACATCTCATCCATGTCTGGGCCCAGCTTGAACCCATTTAACTTGTAAGGGATAATGAGATAACAGCATGATATGTTGCAGCTGAAGGTTATTTAAACACCCATCTGGTACCTGTTATGCAGCATACATCCTAGTGTTGTATAGGAAATATATGCCACCTCCCTCCCATATGGAAAAGAGAAGATCTATATATGTGTCCCATCCTATCCCTTTTCTATGCATAGATGAGGTAATTCTCCTTCTCTGTGTTGTTTCTAACACACTGCTGTGCATTTCATATCTGTGTTTTGGGAGATGCAATCTGTTCCAGGCTGGTGGCATCTCATCGAAAGACACAGAACCACAGGGAAGAATTTACTGCAGACATGCTATCGTCCCCTGCGTGTTATCAGGCAGAAGAGGATCCACACCAGTCTGGTTTGAGGAGAAAGGGTGAACCATAAACTGTGAAGCAAATTCACCCTTTGCAAGAGAACCACACTGCACCCCAGAGATTCTGAGCTGACAATCTATTTTAGAGTTCACAGGACCTAACTCCACTTCTACAGATGGAAGGTGAAACATCTGCTTAAGTTTGTGAGGGGAGCAATGCAACTTGCTTGCACCCTTAATTCAGATGCGCAGCCAAGAGAATCTACAGATCGCAGCTAAATAGTCTCATTTCTTTATTCAAACTCTTCATCTTCATCTGAAAGATGACTTTGGTGGTCTCAGGTCCCCTGCTGCTATTGCTTGTGAAGCGTTCGTCCTCGGCGAAGCCTGAGCAGCCATGACGGCTGGGTTGTCTGGTATCCCCAAAAATCACATTTCATAACAAAAATGGTCAGCTCTGTGTGGTTTTTTTTTTTTTCTTTTTGCAGATCTGCGCTCCTCTCTCTTCTGCTTTTCTCAGGCAAGATTTTCTGCTTTTTTGTGAAAGGTGCTCTACCCTGTTAGCTTTAGTCTAAAACCTTTGGCTGACACCCCATCTAGTGTTCAGCAAAGACAAATGCAGTGTCTTGAGGAAACAGAGTTCACTGGAAAAATTCCAGCATTTTTTCAGCAAAATTAACCACTTTTGTGAATACATCAACATTTGAGTTGACTTCTACAGAGTTCTGAGAGAGTCCAGGCAAAATGGAAACCTGAATAGCAAACCTGTTGCCAATTCCTTCCTCTGGCTTCTATGCAGCCTCCGTGTATGTTAAGGAAGAGATTGCTGCCTGAAAGCCTGGCAAGCCCCACTTCTCAGGTGTGTAGTTCCTTGGCACTCAAAGTCTGGGGGCTTTGAGGACATCCCACTGCAGGTTAGTCATCTAGGTAAACTACCTTGGAATAAGGGGCCAAGACCCTAAGCCGTGCCCAATGCAAGACTCAAAGGCAGCCCACAGAGAGAACTGTCTGAAATGGGGAACAACAGGGGCTTTCTGGGTATCAGCAAAAAGCACTACAGGGCACTCAGAAAGTTGGATGTCCTTTCAAAGGCACTGATTGTTTCAAGGGAGACAAAACCTTGAACATGTCTTGAGTACTAAACAGTGCAGTCAGCATTTTTTCTAATGAGATTTTAAGAATAAAATGAGAGTTATTTAAAAGTGCTTTTCACATTTTTTTCTTAAAAAAAAAAAAATCATTGAGAAAGCTACTTCAGTGTCCTTTTCCTTTTGCAAACACATTTTTTTGGGTGGAGGAACAACGCAAAGTCATCAGGACAAAATGTCAGATCGGAAAACTTGGTTTTAAAAAGCAGGTTTTTGATGCATTCAGTCCTGCGAGATGCAGCGCTCCAGCCACTTCTACAGAAGTCTTTGGGCTCTGTGATGCTAGGTGTGCAACCCACTACGAACTAAGCCGAAAACAAGTACTGCAAGTACTGGTTAATCACCAGATCAAACAGCACCTTGCTCAAGATGCTATGAGGTTTCAGTCCTGTTTACCTCACAGCTGGGAAGCGTTCTAACAAAACTGTCTACCAATGCGGCAACACCTTGCCCATGACAATTTCTGTTCTTAAGGAATAGTGTGACAATTCTGTTCTTGACGTTAAATCAGTAACACACCCAGCTTACAGAAGAACTGGCTTCCATCTGCTTGAACAGCCTGAAGCCACATGCTCCAGGAAGTTATTCTACGTCTTTCTGTTTCGCTTTCCTTTTCTGATGAGCCAAGCCAGCATTCGTTTCCCATCATGAAGCTTCTGAATGTTGCTGGATTCCTTACTCTCGTGCCCACTTTGATCCTAGCTCTAGACCCCCTCAGCACCTCCATCCTCATGGGAGGGGCTGCTGTTGCTTGGCAGCTCCTCTCCCCTCACTCCTGGCTCAAGTGCAGTCTCCTGGAGTGCTGCAATATGAAGGACACACTAAACTTCTCAGGTAAGGCAGTGGCAAGGGTATCATGAGCCGGGTCACTGGTAGGACCAGCTGGTCGTCCTTCTCTGGGGAGTGGGCTTCCTTCTTAATGCCAGTCTCCTTTGGAGCGGTTGTGGGAAAGACAGAAGTTACTGCCCACAGTACCTCCAGAAGGCAAAAGGTGTACTAACCTAATATAGCTTATCCTACGTGTGTTCATGTACCCTAGTTGTCAGTGAGGCACTGGAGCATTTTTCTTGCTGATATCTTGGTTTATATTGGCAGAAGCAGGCAAAATTCTGGAGCGGAGTTTAAGGTGAAGAGCTAATGAAATAATCCCACGTCTTCTTGAGATGGACACCTCAGTGGTATTCCACACCCCAATCAGTGGTTGCTTGTAATGTATGTCAGATGAGCAGCAATCAGTGGTAGCTCTAAGATTCAAAGCATACTGCTGCTTTTCTGTAAGACCTAACGCTGAGTATCAAATAGTCCTCAGTGAAAGGGGAAGCTGGGCAGTTTTGTGCCTGTAGGGAATTAGTGAACCGATCAGAAAAGGTTACACAATATTTTAACCATAAATTCCTGATCTTTCCATCTGGAAATCCCCCTTCCCTTTGTCATGGGACTACAAATAATGTTTCATTTCAGGGCTGGGCTGCAGATTTCAAAACAAACCCTCAACTGTTGGAGACCTGGCTACTTCCAGGTACTTTATATATCACTTAATATCAGCTCTGGATTCGGCTTCTTACAAACTGGCAGTTTTCTTGGAAGTATTTTAGCCACTGAGACACCAGTTGCAGTATTTTTATAAGAGAACATGATGTGGCAACAGAAGCACATTTTTCTATAAATGTGAGGAATGTCAGACGCCACAAAAATAGTTAATGACAATTTACAACATGCAGTGAACATGTCTCTGCAAATACAGTCAATCCTATTCCAAGTCTTTACAGGAGGCAGTAGCTATAATACTACAAGGATTCCTTCCTAACTCATGCAAACTGCTTGGTTCTCAAAAAGGCCATCAAGAGTGAATCGAGTGTCTGTTCGTGAATTTGATTCTCTACTGATTCACAGTCTCACTGTGGACTGAAGGCAGTGAATATTTGTTCTCTCCAGTGGTCATTCAGCAATAGCAAAAAAAGGGGAGCAATAATATGGCATTTACTGACTCTTTTCTCCCCTCATTCCTTTAGTTCTGAGGATGGATTTGGAGCAAAAAGTCTTTGGCCAGCATCTTGCTGTCCAAACAGTTCTGAGAGCTCTGGGAGCAAATGTTTATTCCAAACGGCCAAAGAAGCCTCTGGTGATGTCCTTCCATGGCTGGACAGGAACAGGCAAATCATTTGTCAGCAGAATCATCGCAGAGAACCTCTATCAGCTTAACATACCAAGAAGGAGGTTTGTGCACCACTTCAGCACAGTACTGCATTTCCCACATGCTTCACATGTCCGTCTGTATAAGGTATTTTCCAGCTTTATCTTATTTTCTCTGAGCAATTGATCTGCGATTGTGAATGTAAATCCCAGATAATTTTGCCTCTTCTCACAGGAGCAGCTGCAGAACTGGATCCAGGGGAATGTCAGTGCCTGTCCAAGGTCCCTTTTTATCTTCTCTGAAATGGATCAGATGCCACATGGCCTGATAGACTCTATCCTGCCATTCCTTGGCTACCATGAAGAGATTGATGGTGTTTATTACGGCAAGGCAATCTTCCTCTTCCTGAAGTAAGGAAATGCAAAGGCCGCAACAGAATTACAATTCCACAGAATCAGCAGGGGCAAACGGAGAAGCAATTGCTAATAGCTTTGTAGCTGGCTGCAGCTTGGCTAGGCAGCTCAAGGTCCCTGTCTGTCTTTACAGCATGTTGTCAGTGAACATGCCCAGCCATCGTGCCAGCCAGAAGATCTGAGTTATTCTACACCATAAAGAGAAATTAGTTGTCCTAGGGCTGAACAGGTTCCCACTCCTCAAGTGACTGGGACATGGACAGGTAACCATGTTGGCTTCCAGAAGTCCTGGACACACCAACTTCCCCAATAGTCAGTAAATATGTTTTATCTTGCTCTGTAACATCACCGCTAGGCAGACAGGTCTTTTATAGGATGGGTGAGACTCACCTAAGGAGGCTCAGCAGCTCTATACACGCAGAGAGGGGAGGATTCACATATTGAAGGCTCCTTGCATACATAGGTCAGGGAGGCATGATTCTTCCATGTATTATTCCTGAAAAATCTGTTTGCTGAACGTCATCCCAGCTATGCCCATGTCACGTGACTGATGGCGTCAGTCGTCTGAGCTTTGGGCTGGCGTACCTCTTGGCTTGCTGTTATGTTCAGACACATGGCCTACAAACCCAAATACAACCTATTTCAGTGCAAGGCAGTGATTACCCACAGGGAGTAACAGCTTGTTAGCGAGCCTTTCAGTGACACCTGATAGTATGACCAATCCTCCCCCTCTGCTGAAAAGTCAAACTCAGTAGTTTACATCACTGTCCCAGGGGAGTGCTTACCCCGTCTGACACTGCTTTCATCTGGGAGACGGTGTGATCCTTGTCACTTCCCACCTCTGAGCAACACCCATCTGTATGAGTGTGCCACCTCCATTCTAGTGCAAAATCACACAGAACGACTTAAACCAGACAAGTAATAAAGATGGCAAAATGACAGCTCTAATGATCCAGTGAATCTCTTTCCTCACAGCAATGCCGGAGGAGATAAAATTACAGAGATTGCTCTTGATTACTGGAGAAGGCAGAAGAGAAGAGAAGACATTCCTCTAAAAGAGCTGCAGTCTCTGATGGCTGAGGAAATTTTCAGCAATACGAACAGTGAGTATCTCTGGGCTCCCAGGTCCCAAGACTGCTGAGGTGCGCTGTCTCCTGTGGCCTCCACAGCACTCAGCAGTAAGGCTCCCCATTCTCTCTCTAGGTGGTTTTTTCCGCAGTCAACTGATCCAGAAGAACCTGATTGACTATTTTATCCCTTTCCTTCCTCTTGAATACAAGCACGTGAGAGAGTGTGTCCGGGAGGAGCTGCGCTTGCAAGGCCACATTGAGGACGAAGACCTCATGACAGAGATTGCCTTGGCAATGACCGACTACCCCAGTGAAGAAAGACTCTACTCTAGCAAAGGCTGCAAGACTGTGGCCTCCAGAGTGACTCTGAGCATCTAGATGTTACAAAGCCAAACGCCCTGCGTTCTTGCTACAAGAATACAGCAGATGGAAGAAACAATAACTCCCTTTCTCCTCCTTGCAGCCCAATCTACACATTCTTCCCTGAAGATATTTGGGCTTTTGCATACCAGAAGTAGTCTTATTCAAGATCCCTTGAATAAATACATAGGACAAAGCAACGATCCTAGTATAGAGTAAGCAGAAGAGGCACATACATGGGTGATGAGGTTTGCTCTTCTTGCCCCAGAAACACTCACAAACAAAAGTATTTCCAAGAGGACAACCTCCTATTTCTGTTGCAAGACTGTTTGCACCTGAAGTCCTAGCACGGCCCTAATTAATAAGATCTATCCATAAATAATCATTCTCAGTAATAGTATCTGCTTTGTTTTATATTGATTTTCACCCACCTATCTCAAAGAAATCACAAAGGAGATCAGTAACACTGATCCCGCTTTACACGTATGAAAACTGAAGCACAAAGGAGGAGACTGAGTTTCCCAAAACGTCCAACAAGCCTTGGTCGGAGGCAGTGGTCCTAGTTGCGTGTTGCCCCTGCTAGGCACCACTGCTTCACCCAGATGTACCTAGTTATCTCATATCACCTGAGCTGTTTGCATCAGAGAACACTGTGCACCATTGCCTCTGATCAGTAAATCAAAAGGATGCAGAGAAACCCTTCACATCTCAACACTATTTCTCCTGATATCTAGGCATCAGTGTTGGCTCACCTTGACCGTTATACAGTCTCCTTCTGTTACAGCCACCTGCTGTGATGCACACACAGGGAAATGCCTCTCCTTGAACAGCCACGCTTGCGAGAGACAGTATTTTAAAATAAAGCTTCCAGCAGGCTCTTCCTGGAGTAGCCATTTCTTCTGGAGGTTACAGAATTCAGCACTAACCGCAGCCCCTCTGCAGTTTGCTCACAGTCTGATGCATTTACCAGCAGTGGTCCCCTGGGCCTGACGACACACTCCAGATCGCTATGCTGACTCGTCACTCCCAGGAGCACTGGTGAAAGGAGAGAAGGTTCACGCTCTTGTCACACAAGGTGAGGAAAGGTGTTAGCATTGCTGTCCCCTAGGAATGACCTGCTGGGGCGGAGGGGAGGGATGGACACTGAGTGCCTGCACGAAGTCACCAAGGACAGGGCCTGGCTCACTCTGAGGGGGACAGGGGTGCAGATGACAGGGCCTGGCTCACTCTGAGGGGCACAGAGGATGGGGCCTGGCTCGCTCCGAGGGGGACAGGGGCACAGAGGACAGGGCCTGGCTTGCTCTGAGTGGCGCAAGAGCGTGGAGAACAGGGTCTGGATCGCTCCGAGGGTGACGGGGGCACAGAGAACAAGGCCTGGCTGTCTCTGACAAGGAGCATGGCCCCGAGGACAAGGCCTGGCTTGCTCCGAGGTAGACAGGGGCACTGTGGCCTGGCAGCCTCCTCTCCCCTGCCCGCCATCCCCAGTGCCTCATCACCTCGCTCTCCCAGGCACCGCGGGCAGACAGCCGAGCTCACGGCGT